AAATTTTTTTTTTTGTATCGCATAAATTAGAAACTTTGTTTGTACTTGAACGCGGACGCGCATATTGCCAATAAATAATTTTGTAGAAGCGTCGAACTTTCCGGTTAGGATGACCGATGCATTCCGATCATCTATCTATCGTGTAAAACAGCGATGTAAAAGTCTTAAAATTCTCAAGCGTTACTATAACTATAAATGTTTTTCTTTTATGAATTTGCAATTTACTTATTCAAGAATTTAGCCTTTTAACGTAATACATTGATTATTTAATTTAGGTTCGTGATTAATAAAATTGCGCACTTTGAAATATTTCACGAAACTGTTGTATACAATTCGTTATTTGAATTTAAAAATATTGAAAAATTTAGTAATTTAATTAATAAATTAGTGCCTCAATGTTATCATAAAGTGTACTTTCATCGCAATTTCTCTTAAAAACTTCTATATAAATATAATGTTTTTAAAAAATAATTTTCAATTTCAACTCACCCCGTATGACTAATCATCGCAGCATGAAACATTATTCAATGTGAATCCATTATAGTTTAAGAATAAATTTCATTCTCAATAAAATTAAAACAAGAGCTACTTATTCTAAATCAGCAGCCATTAGCATTTTAGATAGAATCAGCCATAGCAAATTTATAGCAACAAATTATAAATAATGCTTAATAAATATTCATATTTATAATGAATAATCCATATGGAATAATGGAATACAATGTTATCAACAAAAGAAACGATACGATAATTTCTTGAAAATATAGAAAATAAAATGGCAATATAAAAAATTTCGACGATTAACGTTTTTAATTTAAATAAATGCTATGTAAACAATACGTGAAGGCAGCATCCCTTTACCTCAATCATTTTTACATTTATTTGACATAATTAATATTACTATTCTTATTGTTATTGTTGTCGTCGACATTTTTGTTGTTGTTGTTGTTGATGATGATGATGATGATGATGTTGTTGATATTGTTGTTGTTGTTGTTGTTGTTGTTGTTGTCGTTGTCGTTGTTGTTGTTATAATTTGAAACGATAGGTATATCATAAAATATTAAATTAATCTAGCATAATAATAAAATGCAAATGTACAAAATTTTACAATTCGATGTATGTATGAAGTACGATAAAGTACAAAACAACGTTCATGCAAAAGAATAAATACACGCAAACGCAATAAGTACACTACTAATGCATAAACGAATAAAAAGCTGAGCAAATTTCTGGCAATTGTTCCAAATGCATGAAAATAAGGATATTTAACGCCCAAAGTAATACGTATCCTAATAGTAAGTCACACAGACTGACGCACTCTACCTTCCCGATCCTGAAGCTGTTTCATCACACCATATGATCACCAGAGCAGCAATAACAATTATGATATAATATAATTTGATATGTATAATTTGACATGTTCATATAATTATATATATATATATATATATATATATATATATATATATATATATATATATATATATGTATGCAGAAACAATTCATGAATGATGGTGTCGCATTTTACTGTTGAATTATTGTAATGGTGACGTTTTACATTAAAATTAATAATGAGAAATACTGTCAATCGCAGTTTTAACATTGTGCTAATTTTAATCCATGTTATCACAATCACAATCCATGTTATGTTTTTTTTTTATTTTTTATTTTTTCGATCTAATTAGTATGCGAACAAAAAATTCGAAATATGAAATGCAAGTGCCAACTACGGAAAATTTAATTAATAACGCTTCGAAAAATATTTTCTATTGTATTTGGCATTGCACACATAGTTGAAATAATATGAATAAAAATGGGAGAACAATGATTAGTTGATGAAAGAAATAAAAACAAAAGAAAACAAAAAACAAAAAACAAAAAACTAATCGAATCCTTACCTGACAACAGACCCCATGCCATTATCCTGAGTAAGTCCCTGTAATAGCGACGGTCCCGCCGACACCGGTCGTAACTTAGGAAAAGAAATAAAATAAATTACAATCTACTTGTCAGGATTTCTATACAATTATTATTTGTGAAGATTTTAGTTATAATTCATTATTTTGTACATAAATAATCATAACATGAAATCTTCGTACGATGAGCTGTGCCATAAATTCTTTAACATTAATTAATAATGAGCTGACTCTCTAAGTAATAAATATTTAGGTCTATTTCATTCGTATTCATGCAAAAGAAAAAGAAAGACAAAAAAAAATATCAAAATTTACGAGTAACACGTGCTAATAATTTCGAAATAACATTTACTCTAACATGAATGGATTAAGATTAACATTTTGTTAATTTAACAAAGAGTCTAATATGTGAAATAAGATGAAAGTGTATGTAAAATTATATATATATATATATATATATATATATATATATATGTATATATAATACATTGTGCTTATAGATTAGATAAAAATGACAAGTCAATCAAGTTTTAATTGTAATGGTTTTTTTTTAGTTGTTGTATAGTTCATTGTTTCGTAAATTAAAGGAATTACGTGTTAATTTTATTGTAAGAATGAGCTCGTAACGAAAGGTATAATTAAAAAACAAATTACAGTTGTAAATCAATGTTTATATAAAGATTCTTTCTATGCATAATAATATATTGACGTTCATGCAAAAATTAATTCCATTTAAAATGTTTACAGGCTTATGTTTAAACTAATTGTGTAAAGGTTAATTTTTAAAAATGTATCATATTTTTATTATCACCATTAGGATTTAAGAATTGAATTTTGTGTTGTAAAATTAAATTGAAAATTATATTAAATTATATTTAATTTAGAATGTTAAATCAGTCAAAACTGTAGATTATTGTTGAATTCTTTTTAATAATCGATCGACGAATCTCGAGGAAGAGCACAATCGATCTAAAATCTCGAACGAAATTCAAATGTTCGTCATTGTGGAAAGGCAGCGGTTAGAATTATAAAAATTAGAAAATTAGAAAGACCGGTCGGTCGTTCGAAATTTAATTCTCATTGACTTTCTGTTGTTTACCGACCTTTCAACATACTGCAAAACACGTCTCGGGAGAGAGAGAGAGAGAGAGAGGGAGAGGGAGAGAGAGAGAGACCAACACAAGAATTGTAAATTAGCTCATACTTTTTCTGTTTGCGTGGTAGCGTTCGATGTCTCACGAAGCTCTCCACTGCCATTCAGCAACGCCGTCGTCTCGCTCAAAAGCTTCGCGCCGCTTGGGCTTTGATACTTTGTTAATTGAGACTGCAATAAGTAAAACGCGTGTCCAATCAAGTTAAAAAGACCAAAAGATACGCGCAGCTCCTGGCGGAGGCGGGCATTTGGATGAGCAACGAATAGATTCCTCAATAGTCATACCTGCAAGGATTCTATCGTCCTGTCTTTATCGTCAACTTGACCTTGTAGGAAGACCACCTGCCGACGTAGATCGGCTAGTTCATCGACGATGGCGTCTCTCCCATCGTTAGGAGATGTGCTGGAGTCCGTCGTCGCATTACCATCATTCAGGTTGTAGAAGAGACCATTCTAATTAGCAAGAATATTAATCTTATTTAACGATCGCCATCACACTATTAACTTTAATTGAGAATTATATTATTTTCCGATCCATTTCATCGATCCCTCATCGATCCCTGCTAATGGAAAATTAACAATAATTAAATTTATCGTACGTATTGTCTTACGAAGTCTACCTCACGATAATACATTCTAAAATATATAGTTGGAAACACAGTCGTTTTAATTTAGTAATTTAAATTGAAAAAATTATTATTAAATGCCGAGATGGAGGACGAAGAAAATTAAATGTACGAATACAAGATTGATGAAATGCAACGATTAAGTATTTGTCAAGTATAAATTATAAAAACCTTTAATGAATTCTCGAATGGGTTGAGAGTATCGGACTGGAAAAAGAATAAATTACTTTAGAATAATAATTGCAAATGTACTTTAAATTATATAAGCATTTAAAAATCATTACTCGTTATATTACTACGAACTAAGTTAGTACTACTACGTACTAATTAGAAGAAGAAAGAAAAAAAAAAAGAATTCTAACGATGAAAATTAATGTTAGAAATAAAAGTATGTTTTTGTTAAATAAAATTAAGAAAAATAAAGTAAACCTACCCTCGTCAAACCGTTCTCTTCTGACTGCAAATGAAACATCAAGATCGACGAAGTAAAATAAAACATAACGAAAATTAAAGAAAAGCGTATTAATGATAAATAACGGGGACAAAAATAAAATGTGCCGAAATAACTATATTCTTGTTCAAAATGCACATGAAAGAATAAATATTGTGAAGCGAAAAAAAAAAAAAATGTGTGAAAAATCTAATATTACAATTATGTTGATTCTTATTCAATTAAACATACAACTGTCATTGTTAAGCCAACGACGATGATTTAATTACCTCCTGAAGAACCCTTTTTAATTTCAAGAGCATTGTTTTTATGGAAACGATGTCCTGAAACATATAATTGTACGTTCCTCGCTCGAGCCTGAGACTTCCTTCATCTCCGGAATCCAAACTCGGTGATTGTATCTGAATTTAAAAACACATGTTAGTTTATAATTTGTGGTGATAATTATTCACCTTTGGTGTTCCATATTTTAAACGTATTAGTATAATGGAGAGTAATGAAAAACAGAACAAAAATTTTTTATGAATTCCATACTGTTCTATATAAATTTTTTTATTTTTGTAATTATCAAATGTCTCGTACTTTTCAATTCAATCTCCATATAATAAGGAAATTATATGCTTGGATAATATGGATAATATTTTCCTTATCTATGCATACACAGCTTCATCGATAGCCTATCTTCTCTTCTTTAATATGTAATTAAAAAAAAAAAGAAAAAAAAAACACTTACACTTCTGGGTGGTCTAAGGGGACTGAAAATTTGACGACTTCGCGTACTGTCAAGAGATTTTGGTGATTCTGTGTTGGATCTGCTATGCAAAAGCCGCGTTGTCCGATTATTACTGAGTCTGGAACAAAAATGTAAAAGCACAAATTAGTATATATACATATATATATATATATATATATATAAAAATTATCCATAACTTTATGAATATTCAAGCAAGTACATAATTTCATGCAGAAGGAAGAAATTATATATTTTTACTATTGGTGTGTTTTAAAGCTAATTTTGCAAATAAATCTAAACGCAAAAAATAAAAATAGATAATGATATTATTTGCCTATAATATGGGATAATATTATTGAGAAATAAATAATATTAAACAAAAATGAGGACAATCACGAGCGACAAGAGGACAAATGTATTTGTAATTTGATAAAGATTATTTGTAAAGCACATTAAGACTATTGACTAATAATAGTTTGTAAGCTAATTTACAAAAGCGATTAAATAAATAAAATTTTGAGTCACATAACCAAATTATCATTTTACCTATACTATCGTATATATTAAGATTGTCAAAGTTAATGTTTACCAAAAAATTCATTTCAAACAATCTCTTAGCAAATGTACGATACTTTAATATTAGCTTCGGCACTAAACAAATTTACATTCGGTTGGTGATCATATTTATTCAAATTCTTTTGATTATCAAATGACACGCTATTTATATTTTGGGATATTGTGACATTAAGAATCTAGATCATATCATCGTGTCTCTATTAGATTACGTACATAGGAGATACAATGAGCAAACTCATTAAATAGTTAAATAAAAAGATCATAACCATGTTTACTTAAATTCTAATCCACTAAAGTTCGCTAACCAATTGAATCGATGTAAATGTAAATAAATGTAAAATCGCATTATATGTAATGCACGATGATATTTTACTGCTACACGATGTGAAATCTTATAATCGATATATCAATAGCTCGATATCTGCAATTTTTATAATGAGAATGTTGCTGTAGCAGCGCGATCCTTGATTTTCTCATAATTCTAAAGAAGCAAGACGTCATTGCGCATAAGAAGAAATTTAATACGATTGCCCTAGTGGGTGGAGGCAGGTAATCACGAATATGGAACACTTTCGGCTCGACGTCGCCACAAGTCCGCATCGCCGACGCCAGCGAAACTTCCTCTTGCGGCAAGATTACGACAAAAAAAAAGTTTCGCCAGCCACTTGGAGAGAGAGATAGATAGATAGATAGATAGATAGATAGATAGATAGATAGATAGATAGATAGATATATAGATAGATAGATAGATAGATAGATATATAGATAGATAGATAGATAGATAGATATATAGATAGATAGATAGATAGATAGATAAATAGAGAGATGGAGAGAGAGAGAGAGAGAGAGAGAGAGAGAGAGAGAGAGTAGGGAGGGGGGGGAGCAAATCACGTCCACGAGAACAAAGACACGGAGACAATGGGCCGAGGTTTAGCCCGATTAACCAAGACCTTTCAGACTCCTGTAGCCGAGCCTTCGAGGCTGCAATGATGTCCCGCATTTTCGTGCGTCTCAGCAGCTGCGGCTGGGGTTGCCTCGGAGGTGGTGAGACGTTGGTCGGGGTCGTGCACCCGGACGATAGGCCCGAATCTTTCCCGTCCTCGGTGAGATGATGCACCGCCTCCGAGGCGCGTCGCGTCTCGGCAGTCGTAGCAGCGTTGGCAGCTGTAGCAGCGTCGGCGTTGGAAGCGGCGGAAGTGGTAGAGACGGTCGAGGCGGTGGGTGCGGGAGTTGCGGGGCCCGCTCGCATCGGGATACCGCTGCGACGCTTCGCACCCTTACCACCATCTCCGGCTGGTGCTCCCGACATGCTTCGATCGCACTTATCGGCTTATTCTTAAGAAAATCGCTCGAGTTCGAAAGGCTTATGAAGCCATTATGGTATATCGTTGCTCGTTTACTACTTTTGTTCGTTAATTGTTGGGATTCTGAAAGTGTACAGTAATTTTACATACATTTCTCGACCCCTCAAACAATTTGTAATACGTTTTTTAAATGTTCTATTTTGGGAAATCAGCCGTTCGGTAATAATGGAATAGGATTATAGTTGTTACAGGAAGTGAAGATCTTTGATCGACTTGGCTGTTTAATTACGTTTCTATTTATGTTTTGCCCAATATGCGTACTGAGACATCGTATTAAATTTATTATGACCAATTTAATGTTGCGAATATAGAGTACGGCATGCACGTACTAAACTATAACGCCTTTCTTTTTCATTATGAATGTTTCAAGTCAACAAGCCGGATCAATTTCATAAAAACCGAGCGTATGCGTGCGTAAGTAGTAAAACGTGGCGCACATGTTATTAAAAAGTTATTCAATAGTTTCTCCATTTTAATTGGCATCGATAAGCATCTTTATGCACAATTTAAAGTAATGAAGTTGCACTTATTCCATTAAAAATTCCCGGACAGCCCGAACGTTTCAGAGCGCAATTGATTAACGTTTCGAGCGAGGATTGGCAAAAAATTTAGCGAAACAATAGTAATAATGAGCTTTACGTATCGCGCGGTGCAAGGCAAATCAAAAACCGGAGAGTTTCCGCAGAATGCTAATAGCACTGGGCCGTATGTAAATAGCATTTCTTCACGTTCTCGGAAACGATCCAATGAAAGAAAATCGTAGAGAGAGAGAGAGAGAGAGAGAGAGAGAGAGAGAGAGAGAGAGCGATGCTACGGGGGAGGGCAAGGCGAGCTGGTGCGTCAGCTCGGAAGGATGGTGGCAGTCTCGTCAGTTTTGTCGCGCAATTGCGCGGTCAGGAGACGCTGCGCGCCGACGCGCATTTAATTGCACGGGCCCGCACCGACACGGTCGATGTGCACACACGTCGACGAGAATAGCTAATAGGTACTGCGCTAATAAAAGCGATGCTTGCGAAAAGGAACGAATGTGCGAGAAAAAGGAAAAGGGTGTCGGTGGGGGGGGGGGGGGGGGGGGGGGGGGGGGGGGGGGGGGGGGGGGGGGGGGGGGGGGGGGAGGTTTTTAAGCAATGACGGTGGTTTACATGCGAGAGGTGAGGAAGAGGAAGTCGAGAGTGCTAGTGCTAGGGGCTAGTGCGTTCAGATAGTCCGTTAATAAAGGAAATATATCCTTCCAGAGCTGACGCACCAGGTCGAAAGATGGAAAATCACGTCTTTGCTACAAGCAGCTCGCATTTCTCCTCCAGCGGGCTTCTTACTTTGGATTGGGCCGCTTCGATTACGTCATCGCTTCCACGTGCTCGTTGGTGGCACTTGCGCATTCGACAAAGTGTACCTGGGCTTGCGCCGGTCGACTTGTCATTATCGCTAGGCGATAGCCGATACGCGACATTTGCAATTGTCACGTGTCGGTTTGTCGCGCTCCCACGCATTTGGCGAAATAATGCCGCGCTGCAAGAAAGTGCAGTTTATTGTATGCACCGTAGCGGAAGGTGTTTGATGCGTAATATTTCTTATTGGGTCGGCTGAGTTTTTTATTGGATTCTGAGACATTTTAATGGGAATAAAAGTGAAATTGTAATGGTATAGTTCATAAAAATGGTATAGAGAGAAAACAATTATCGATAAGATTTTATGGCGTAGGTGGCCATATTTTATGAGTAAGTTACTAAGTAACAGCATTGGAGTCGGAAATTGAAAGTAATTCGTGGTATTAAGAATGAAAGTGTAGAAGCAAATAGGATAATATCACCATCCATTATTAAAATTATCGTTTCCTTCGATTTTGCGTTTCTATCAGTTTTTCGAACTATTTGAGCAAAAAAATTATCATCTCTGTAGAATGATAGGCGCGTTAAAAGATGGTCGTAAGTTAATTTGCATAGTTTGGATCATATGTTGAAGTTTCGAAAGCTCTCACGTAACATGTTCGAAACATGTAATCCGTAACTTAATTATTATTGCATTATAAAAGATCGTAACATTGTTAATACATGACAAAATATGAAATATCTCTATGCTACAAAGAATTCGAAGCTTACTAAATGTCCCTACTAAGATGCATATATATATATATATATATATATATATATATATATATGAAAAACAAAAACAATCTCTAATTTTATACCTACACAACCTATTTAAGGAAGGATCTGTGTTGAAAAAACGACCACCTTCGTCTATACAAGACTGCAATGTTCTTTTTTTCAATTCGGATTCCTTAAAATGCTTAATTATAATCTATGATATTTAAATAGGTCTATTAAAGCGGTAACGCACTAATAATAGACACATTCAAATATCTGAAGAGCCAAGAGTTTGTGTGGCGTTGTAAAAAAGCGGAGTTAAAAAATTGATCAAACATCCGAAAATTGGTCTAACGATGATTTAAAAAACGTATTACAAATCACACAGTGAACATTTAAATGACCAAAAATAAGAAACTCACTTTGAATTATAGGATTGGATGCGTCACAAATCAAATTCGACAAACAATTTGCACAATATAATCACATTCGCTTTTTTACTAGTCCTATATGCAATAATTCCCAACATTGTTCTGACAACTCTTCGGCAAAATTAATCTTCGCAAGATACTTAATGACATTTAAATGCTGTAGATCGTTCACCGGACTCCCAAGGTCAACTCTCATTGATTAACAAATCATCCACAAAATTACCCCTCGACCATTACTTTCTCCACCCGCGAGCCAATCCCTCTTCCCGTCCTCGTACGTCATCGCTCGCACGTACGTATCGTACAAGAATAAGAGCTGGAGAGACGGTAAACGTGGACGGGCGAGGTGCACGACTCAAACCATTCCACCGTCAAATTGGATCGATCCTCTTGCGTGCTCGACAATCTGGCACAATCAGTAAAGCGAGCAGCTTCAGAGGTCGAGGGCCCGAATCACCGAGTCCACTCTGCTTGTTCAGCCGAGCCCACGTGGACGGGATGTCGAGGCTCGTATCCCTGTATTAAGTTCGTATTTCCACGAGACCGCCAGGATGTGGTCGTTGTATCATCGACCACAACGACGATAACTGCGAAAACGACGATAACGACGACAACGACCACGACGACGACCACGACGACGACGACAACGACGACGTCAAC